AGCTCCTGCAGTGGGGAAAAGGATGAGAAGGCTGCAGAAGCCCCCTCTGCTTCCTAAAGCACCTGCTCAAACATGACACACTCACGCCCCCTTCCCCCAGGCACGGCACACCACCCGTGAGGCTTGGACTCTGTTCCTCTGGTGGGCAAGATGACACGGACAGGCACTCGGCATCGGGCAGGAACTTACAGGCTGCTCACAGGAAGGGGCAGCAGGACAACCAAGGGCAATAACGCGTCGTCCTCAGCATGACTTTAATTTAATAAAGGACAAACGGATGAAGGAACTATATTCCTTGCTGGAAAGGGTGAACATCTTCTCTAGGTCCATCCACACCAGTTGATAAGTAGGGAAAGAAACGATCGAACAGCAACAAAAATATCCGTGACCAAATGACATTTGTGTTGTGTGAACTAACGATCTGCTTGTAATATGCAACCACTGGCTTTATGAATCAGTAAAAACTCTGCAAAGGAAAGTTAGTATAAACCCAGCTTCCACCGAGCATTGATGATACTTGACAATCATGATCTGTCATTAACTATGGCCTGTTGCGTTTATCAGCAGCTGAGGTGAGGGCCATTTCTTCCTGAGCTCAGACAACACCTCCCAGACTTCAAGCACTGAGCCCAGGCCACATGATTAGCTCTCACCACTGGAAGGGGAGCGCCACTCCAGAGCTGAGGATGGTGTGTCTTCACTGTCTTTTTTTTTTTTTTTTGAGACAGACCCTCGCTCTGTTGCCCAGGCTGGAGTGCAGTGGTGCTATCTCGGCTCACTGCCAGCTCTGCCTCCCGGGTTCATGCCATTCTCCCGCCTCAGCCTCCCGAGTAGCTGGGACTACAGGTGTCTGTCACCACACCAGGCTAATTTTTTGCATTTTTAGTAGAGACGGGGTTTCACTGTGTTAGCCAGGATGGTCTCAATCTCCTGACCTCATGATCCACCCGCCTCAGCCTCCCAAAGTTCTGGGATTACAGGCGTGAGCCACCGCGTCCCGCCTTCACTGCCTTTTCTTCCAGCAGGTTGTGTAAGTTCCCACAGCGGATTCCAAGGCAAAGAGAGAAAAGCAGCTTTGGTACCTGAACAACAGCCTGGAGCAGAGGACTCTCATCCCTTTTGAACCCACAATGGACTGCGACTTGAACAAGAAATAGAGCTTTTCGGTCAGGTGCGGTGGCTCAAGCCTGTAATCCCAGCACTTTAGGAGGCCGAGGCGGGCGGATCACCTGAGGTTGGGAGTTTAAGACCAGCCTGACCAACATGGTGAAATCCTGTCTCAACTTAAAATACAAAGTTAGCTTGTATTGGGTGTGGTGGTGCATGCCTGTAATCCCAGCTACTCACGAGGCTGAGGCAGGAGAATCACTTGAACCTGTGAGGTGGAGGTTGCGGTGAGCCGAGATCCCACCATTGCACTCCAACCTGGGCAACAAGAGAGAAACGCTGTCTCAAAAAAAGAAAAAGACGAGACAAGAAATAGAGCTTTTTCTGCATTCAGCTGCTGATTTGGGGTGGCTTACTACAGCAGCTGACCTCGTGTTAACCTTGTGTGTACAGCGCTGACTTCCGCTTCTACGTCCTGGTGATCCTGGAGGTGAGCTGTGAGCTGCACTGCAGGAACCTTTAGTCACCGACTAGTTCCACACCACACTGAGGAGCCCCCAACCAGGAGTAACTGGTACATCCTAGCATTGTTAGCTATAGAAAAAGTCAAAATGGTATTGGATAAATTATGGGACAAAGAAAACGAATAAACAGGTTCTTTAAGTGCTGATATGGAAATACCAGGTATGTTAAGTGAACAATTAAGGCACAGAACAACATACAGAGAAGTTTTTAAGGTCTGACCCAAGGACCCTGAGACTGCCCAGGATCCTTTTACAGGGTCCGCTAGGTGCTCCCTTTCCAACTACACAACAGTATAAGGATGTACATCCTTCATATATCCCAACCAAAAAGCGTCACGACAGTTGGAATGCAAAGATGAAAATCCAGCTGTCTTCTACTAAGCATGGCACTAAAGAAAATTGTGATGTGAAAACAATGTCATGCTTCACTGATTCTGTTTTGAAGAATAAGTTTTCTACGTTCTTTTAAAATGTCGCTATAGGCCGGGTGCACTGGCTCACGCCTGTGATCCCAGTGATTTGGGAGGCCGAGGCGGGCAGATCACCTGAGGTCAGGAGTTCAAGACCAGCCTGGCCAACATGATGAAATGCCATCTCTTCTAAACATACAAAAAAAAATTAGCCGGGCATGGGGGCAGGTGCCTGTAATCCCAGCTACTCGGGAGGCTGAGGCAGGAGAATCGCTTGAGCCTGGGAGGCGGAGGTTGCAGTGAGCCCAGATCACGCCATTGCACTCCAGCCTGGGCAACAAGAGTGAAACTGCCTCAAAAAAAAAGTCACTCTGGGTGGCTCACACCTATAATCCCAGCACTTTGGGAGACCAAGGCGGGCAGATCACCTGAGGTCAGAAGTTTGAGACTAGCCTGGCCAACATGATGAATCCCTGTCTCTAATAAAAAAAATACAAAATTAGCCAGGCGTGGTGGCAGGTGCTTGTAATCCCAGCTACTCAGGAGGCTGAGGCAGGAGAATTGCTTGAACCTGGGGGGCAGAGGATACAGTAAGCCAAGATCACACCACTGCACTTCACCCTGGGTGACAGATAGAGACTCTTTCTCACAAAAAAAAAAAAAAAAAAAAAAAAAAAAAATTAAATAAAAATAAATATCACTATACAATGGGTTTATTACTTTGTAAATCTCAATTTTATTTTCTAATATAATATTGATATAAATCAATCTTTTTTTTTTTTTTTGAGACGGAGTCTCGCTCTGTCGCCCAGGCTGGAGTGCAGTGGTGCAATCTCAGCTCATTGCAAGTTCCGCCTCCCGGGTTCCCGCCATTCTCCTGCCTCAGCCTCCCGAGTAGCTGGGACTACAGGCGCCCACCACTATGCCTGGCTAATTTTTTGTATTTTTAGTAGAGATGGGGTTTCACCATGTTAGCCAGGATGGTCTCAATCTCCTGACCTCGTGATCTGCCCGCATTGGTCTCCCAAAGTGCTGGGATTACAGGTGTGAGCCACCACGCCCAGCTGATTCACATTTTAAAAGCTCTTTGGGGGCTCAAAAACTTAGTAGTGTAAAATCATACTGAGATTGATTCAAGCACCACTGTTGTATATCGTATACTACTTTAGTGTAAAAAAGAAAGAAAAATCATCTTGTACTAGCTTACAATGCATAAAGAAACCCATTAAGGATAAACCACTATCAGTGGTACTGGGCAGATGAAAGACCTTTTACTGAATGTATCTTTTTGTTGTTAATTTTCGAGCTATGTATAATCTATTCACGAAAGTAAGTTAAAAAAACAAAACCTAGGGGGCCGGGTGCGGTGGCTCACACCTGTAATCCCAGCACTTTGGGAGGCCCAGGCAGGCGGATCACGAGGTCAAGGGACTGAGACCATCCTGGCCAACATGGTGAAACCCTGTCTCTACTAACAATACAAAAATTAGCTGTGCATGACGACGTGCGCCTGTAATCCCAGCTACTCAGGAAACTGAGGCAGGAGAATCGCTTGAACCCTGGAGTCAGAGGTTGCAGTGAGCTGAGATTGTGCCATTGCACTCCAGCCTGGCAACAGAGCGAGACTCCTCTCAAAAGAACAAAACAAAACAAAACAAAACCCCTAGGGGCCAGAGGAAGCAGGAAGGCCAGCCCCAGAGAAGATGGAATAGGCCAGAAAGTCTGTGTGTGGATGACACCACCTCAGCCCAACCCCTCCAGAAACATGGTCTCCAGGCAAAACATCAAAGGATTCTTCTCTAAACAAACAAAAGCAAGAGACAGAGCTTCCAGGGTGTGGCTCCCCCAACTTAACTGTAACCGGCAAACACCATCACCACACACCCAGGGTCTGCAACATGGGAGGCAGCCAGAAAACTGTAACGAAAGAACACACAGCAGGTCTGCAATGGAGCAGCAGAAATACTGTAACCGGCAAACACGATCACCACACAGCCAGGGTCTGCAACATGGGAGGCAGCCAGAAATAACTGTAACCGGCAAACACCATCACCACACAGCCAGGGTCTGCAACATGGGAGGCAGCCAGAAATAACTGTAACCGGCAAACACGATCACCACACAGCCAGGGTCTGCAACATGGGAGGCAGCCAGAAAAGCTAGCCCAGAGGAGAGGGAGGCAATTCAGGAACTAAAATGATTTTTTAAAACAAAAATAACTGGCCAGCGTGGTGGCTCACGCCAGCACTGTGGGAGGCTGAGGTGGGCGGATCTCGAGGTCAGGAGATCAAGACCATCCTAGCTAACACGGTAAAACCTCGTTTCTACTAAAAATACAAAAAATTGGCCCGGCGTGGTGGCGGCGCCTGTAGTCCCAGCTACTCGGGACGCTGAGGTAGGAGAATGGTGTGAACCCGGGAGGCGGAGTTTGTAGTGAGCTGAGATCAGGCCACTGCACTCCAGCCTGGGCGACAGAGCAGGACTCCGTCTCAAAACAAAACAATAAAAGTTAAAAAATAAAAATAACAAAAAAAGAAGTCATGTATCCAAAGATGCTGGAGAAGTTATTGGACACACACTGCCGGGGAGTCTGGGTGGGAAAAATAGTGTCCATTTTCTCACAGCCATCCCGAGTGTGACTACACAGGCCACTCCTGTTTGTGGAAATCATATATTCACATGGCACAGGGAACAAGAAGGCGTTTTAACCTCAGATGTGGAGACCTACTACCTGCATGCTCCTGAGTAAATTGTTTAACTTCTGGGCCTTGGTCCCTCCAGTGGAATACCTCCCTTACAGAGTCACTAAGAATTCAGTGAGTTGTCTCTGATGTGACGATATAGTCTAGCATTTGGTAGGTTCTCAATAAATGGCATTCTTATGATCCATGACAGCAGAAAAAGCTGAGAGTATGTTACTACAAAGTAATTTTTTAAAGACACAGAAGTCACAATGAAACATGCTTTAAGGTTAATGCTTTAATGTATTGACATTTTCACTTACAAATGTACAATCTGCATATGTAGGAAAAAATCAGTTCTCTAGACACAACAGAATACTAGAGACGGGAAAGCAATCACAAAAAGATCAACTCTGGGGAGAAAGTGGAACTGCATTCCATGCCTTCATCTACACACACTAGGGAAGGAAAAAGAAATATTACAGAGGATCAAAACTTGTGGAAAATACACTTGGGTCATTTTGTCTCAACTGCAGGACCTTCTTATGATCCAGATGGCTACCTTGAGTCCTGGATAACCTAAAATGGGCAAAGTCTGGCCTTGTTCACAAATGATGACCCGAAATATTAACAGTTCTCCCTCTCCTCTTTAATATCCAAGACCCTGAAGCTGACTCAAGGAATGAAAAGAACAACCAGATCAGCATGTATATAATGTCACTGGCCAACTTCTTCAAGGTATGGATTATTTAAAAGTACACATGGAAGTAAAATGCTTACTCAAACCTGAATAAGAAGTTTCTTCTAACTCAAGTACTTCTTGACTTGTATGAAGTGTAGCACTGTAAACAAAGGACATCGTTGAGAAACCGAGGCTATCAAAACATTGGCATCTATGGGAGTTGTGGCCAAGAAATAAAATACCTGAGTGACCTTATCCCGAGTATGCATTTTACACCAGGATCAAGTCACTAGTGACAGTCAAGTTCCAGGCTCATCTATGGCTGCCTAATGAGGCTGGCCCCACTGGGATGGGGACTGGGGAGGGGACACACATGAGTGCCCAAGCTTCAGTCCACACCTCTCCCCTTCAGCCAGAAGCAGCCAAGGGAGCACAGGAACATCTGCCTCAATAGCATTTTGGCAGCAAAAATCAATACTCTGTGGTTCCTGGAATTCTCACCCAGCAATTCCAAGTTCAAAATTACCAGTGCAACATGAAAAACTGTTAATAGTTTTTAAGTAAAGGGTACATACAGCTTTAATAATGATTATAATCTGAAGAAAGTCATTCTTCTTATACAGGATGGAGAATCCTCAAAGCAACATTTTAAACCATGGACACTAGACTTGTCATATATTACATCTATTCAGAGATGAGAGATAAACACACATCCTTCCATGTGGGAACAGATACTCCCATGTCAACACGTCCCCTAGGATCAGAGAGAAAAGCAGACCCGTGGTCACCACTCAGTTTCTCTGGCGTCTGACTTTAGATGGAGTCCCAGGTAGGTTGGCCTAAGTTGGCCTCAGAGGGAGGTGGCTGAGCAGCAAAGCAAGACAGCATGTGTGTAACCAGCCAGGCAAAATAACAAGTCTGTGCTACCTGGAGTGTATTTTCAGGACAACAGGACCATATGGAGTGTGGGGCAGGGACATTCACTGTGCTAAACTGCCTCTGTAAAAGCACACTGTTGAAAGCATGCAGGACAGAAAACTGGAATAATTCAGAGCTTAAAAACAAGAAATAACAGAAATGTGAATATTTCAAATACATACATCAGAATACTGAAAATAAGAGCATTTGACAGAAAGGCTGGAATGGTTTTTCCAAAGACTCACACATTTTGGGGCTCAAAATTCAATGTTCTAAGCTTCTCTATCACAAAGAGATCAAGAACAAAAGCAAGGCTGGGGATCCTGACCGGGCTGAGTGGTACCTTGAGCCAGTCCCTGTGTCCTGAGGGTCCCTGGGCCCCATTTCCCACCCATAACCCAAGTCTGCTCAGCTACGGTCTGCCCTGGTGCTCCGTGAACAGTCACAGGCCCCACTTCTGCACAGGATGGGCCTTCAGAGAGATGAGAGCATCTCCCGCACAGCGTAACCCCGTGAAGGCCTGAAATGGGAACGCCCTAACTAAGGCTCTCCTTCCGCTCCCTCGCTGTTCCTTTAACATTACATCCTCAGCAAGTAGAAAACTAGGCTATCGGGAGGCTTAGGCAGACACACACTCAAACAGCTCTCTTGGAATAAAGCAAATCTGCCTCCACACACTTGTTATTGTTCCGGCTTCTCCAAGTTTTAAAGGATAAAGCCCTCAAACTTGCAGGCTCAAATCAATTCCCAATGCGGGAAACGTTCTCCAAGTATGGCTACCAAAACCATACCAGAATAAGGTGAGAAGCAGCAGCTAGAGTCAGGCAGACTTCTGAAGCATCATTTTTCAAAGGCGGGCTGTGCCCTGTCATCCTGAGCCGTAGGCCTTGCCGGGGGCCTGTGGAGCCCCAGAGGGCAGGACAGGGGCTCTCACACCATGGCCCCGGGAAGTACCTGGGAGCTTACCAACCCACAACTCCTAAAGTAACAAGCAACCAGTTCTGGTCTGTGGTTTGAAAAAGTTAAATGGAAAGCTATAGCTTTTCTTGCCACAATCACTCATTAGGCATACAACACTATATTACCAGCATAACATGAAAATAAATTAACCCTTAAGCACTACACCTAACTCTAAAAAGAAAATGCCTTTCAAAACAGGTGTGCTCAAATAAGGTGTTCCGAGAGTTGCACAAGGACAGTCTTGGAATGAGCCAGTGCCCCGGAGAGCCAGCGTTTGAACACAACAGCACAGTTCAAACCTTTCTCTGTGGTACTTATGTGGATTAGTTACAATTATGACATCACTACTTTCAAAGGAACCATTAAAACTATTATTAAAAACATTTGTCACACACAGAAATGCCCTGCAAATCATATTATTGCACACAGGGTTATCAGAAGCTATGCACATCAAGACCTTGAGGCCCCTAGAAGACCCAAAATAGAGACCCTAAGGCCATGCCCGTGGCTGCTCTTGCCAGCATGCCCAGTGCCAGGTCACTGTCGTTGTCTCGATACCGCTCTCGAATGATGACTTGGTTAGCAGGCTGCTGTCCATAAAGTCCTAAAACAGAAGGAAAGTAGCAGATCTCTAAGCAGCAGTTTGTGAAGTTTAACATCACGCGAAGTGCCAGTTCTCCTTTCACAAAAGGGATCTGCTGTCTCCTGTCACACTGGCACCCCAGCCCTCCTCCACAGCAGGCACATCGTGTGGCCCACATCCCTGAAATCGCACTGGGAGGAAACCAAGATCCTCAGCTCACTAAGGGCCAAGGTCCCTAATCTGCAAAGAGCAGAACCCTAAAGAAGCTTTCAGACTCCAGCCTTTGATTTCTACTTCAGCCCTCCACACCATGCTTACTGGGTGGCAGACAAATGGGGAACATGGGAGAGACACAGTGCCCAACAAAAGCCCAAAAAGGAAATGCTCACTTAAAGCAAATTAGCTTCTTAGTATGCATGCAAACCAATTTTTAAATTAAACCTTAAATCTGCACATATAACTTGATTTTTTTTCTTTTTTTTTTTTTTTTTTTTTTTTTTGAGATGGAGTCTTGCTCTGTGCCCAGGCTGGAATGCAGTGGCATGATCTCAGCTAACTGCAACCTCCACTTCCCGGGTTCAAGCTATTCTCCCACCTCAGCTTCCTGAGTAACTGGGACTACAGGTGCCTGCCACCATGCCCGGCTAATTTTTGTATTTTTAGTAAAGACAGGGTTTCACCATGTTGGCCAGGATGGTCTCAAACTCCTGATCTCAAGTGAGCCACCCACCTCGGCCTCCCCAAGTGCTGAGATTACAGGCGTGAGCCACAGCGCCCGGTCTACTCTTCTTCTTTTTTGAGACAGAGTCTCACTCTGTCGCCCAGGCTAGAGCGCAGTGGCTCGATCTCGGGCCACTGCAATCTCCGCCTCCCAGGTTTACGCCATTCTCCTGCCTCAGCCTCCTGAGTAGCTGGGACTACAGGCGCCCGCCACCACGCCTGGCTAATGTTTTGTATTTTTAGTAGAGACGGGGTTTCACCGTGTTAGCCAGGATGGTCTCCATCTCCTGACCTCGTAATCCACCTGCCTCGGCCTCCCAAAGAGCTGAGATTACAGGCGTGAGCCACCGCGCCCGGCCCAGCCTACTCTTTTTTACTACATGTCTTTATGGAGAAAAAATATTTATGTTAAGAGGTGAAAACTTCAAAAAAACAAACCACAGACAAATTTAATATTTAATTTGCAAGACTAAAATTTACAACTGGAAATGTACTGTTTGCTCTCTTCCATGCTTCACAGCTACAATGCCTAGTAGCTAAGTAGCTTTCAAACTGCTCAGGTATTAATAGGGTTAGCTTTCCTCCTTGATCCTCTATTCCTTTAATGGTTCAAAGGCTGGCTGGCCAGGCTAGATGGCTGGCACCTGTAATACCAGCACTCTGGGAGACTGAGGCGGGTGGATCACTTGAGGCCAGAAATTTTAGACCAGCCTGGCCAACATACTGAAACCCTGTCTCTTCAAAATTTACCAAAAAAAAAAAAAAAAAAAAAAAAAAAAAAAAAATTAGCCAGGGGTAGTGGCGCATGCCTGTAATCCCACGCTGAGGCATGAGAATTGCTCGAACCTGGGAGGCGGGGGCTGCAGTGAGCTGAGATCCTGCCACTGCAATCCAGGGTCTGGGCAACAGAGTGAGACTCTGTCCCCCCCCCAAAAAAAAAGAAAAAGAAAAGAAAAAAAACAAACTACTCACTAGTGATGTGCACATGTGGATGAAGAGCAGAAGTGAAACCCTCAGTGATAACAAAGGTGAACATTTCCAACCACTTGCAGCACTACATACACTGAAATGCTCTTACTCAACTGAGTGCGCTCTTATCCCTATTCTGCAGAGGGGCAAACCGAGGCACACAATGGTTAAGGACACTAAGGCCACACAAACCCAGGCATTCTGGCTACAGTATGCATTTATACCCACTAATGTCTCAAATCCAACAGAAGATGATGAATGACAAAAATCAAAAGGCACAGAGTAGTACAATGAAACCATTGTAAATACAAGGGCTGATCTCGTACAGGTAACAGTATTGGAAGCAAGTGATTATTTTTGCAATGTTTAAATTTCAAAACTAGGGAATTATGGCATTTACTTTCACAGCCCTGACATTTTAAAACATTCAGTAATGTTAACTCCAACTAGCCAAATGTAACACGATGAAACCTGTGGGCTGACCTAATAAGAAGCTCTCCTGGAAAAGCTGCATTCTCCTGTCCTTGCAGGTCATGCTGAGGTCCGCTGGCTGCAGGACCAGGCCACTCTCCTGTGGCTCCTGCTCAGCTCTGCTCCTGCGCTGAACTCAGTCCTTGCCAGAATCAGCTGTGGATGCTTCCAGGTCACACTATTTTAATTGCCTAGTTTAACTAATACTACATAAATGGTCAAAATGTGAATGAGAAAAAGGCAGACACAGTTTCTATGGCAACTAAGATACTACAGGAAAACTAAATAAAGGAAGGTACTTTTACAAATTATCATCAAATCAGGGAATGGAGAAAACTATAAAAGATGGAAGGATGGGAGCACTATAGTCTCAAAATCTAGAAGTCTGCTCTTGGACTTACCCCTGGAAACTGCAGTGCAATGACGTGTCATGAGGATGGTCTCTACAAGACAGAAATAGAAGACTCCAACCAAAGGAGCCAACTCAAAGCAAACACCCTAACCCCACATGATGAGAGAGCCGAACGAGCACCCACTAGTGGGTGAAATCACAGCACAATGTTTACAGAACGTCTACAGTACTCTGTACTTTCTCAATTGGCTGACCAACCACTGGTCCCAATCACTCAACAGAAAGCCTTAACCAGCTCTGTGCGTGACTAGGAGGGTTCTTGTGGACTAGCTCTAGGCTCTGAGACCCTGGCAGACAGGATGGCATGGAGGTGGCAAAGCACCCATCTGGTTGTCAGCACAAGCTGCTGTGTATCAACCACAAACCCAGCTGACCCTTCCACAGCAAGGAGGTCTGGGGGCTGCCTGGTCACCACCCTGAGGCAGGCTGCATAATGCCCACTGATCCAGCCCCTTACGTGGCAAGCATTCCGAGTACTGCCTGTGAGAGTGCTACTTCTACTCTACTGACGAGAGCTAAGGGCAAGGATGGACTCATTTCTGGAAGCGCCCTAAACAACCACGTCCGCAGTATCTGTGCTCTCTGTACAGTAAGAAAACAGCGGCAACTGCCCTAAGAAGCTGAGAAAGAGGCTGGCTCTCATGTGGCAAGGCTAAGGCTTAAAACTCACCACCCCATGGGATTCCAACAGAAAAATGTGCAAAAGGAAAATGATTCATAAAAGGGGATATAAACTAAAGCAACTCGATGATTCCACTTCAGACTTACTGAAGCTATCAAAACTTTCAGAGCACAACAAGCAATCTTTATGGAATTACAGATAAACCACAGCATCAGTAACTGCTAGTGATATTATCAGTTGGTAAATCATTCTGGGATCAACTTGGTAAAATGCTATCCAGATTTAATGTAATATTAAGAGTTGAAATGATTACAAATCTGGGATGTCCCTTAAACTAATCCAGAGGTAGAGAAAGGAGGCTGAGGTAGAGATAAAAGATTAGACATGATGTGGTAACTACTGAAGCCAGTGATGGACACATGATAGTTCATTATACCATCATCCCTATTTTTTATGTTTGAAAGCATTTATATTTTTAAATCATATCCAAAAGAACCCTCAAAAATGTCTATGCTTTCTGACGTATTAATAGAGATGCTTCTCAACTTACAATGGGATTACCTCCCAATAAACTCATCGTAAGTTGAAACATCATAGTCAAAATGCATTTAATATGCCTAACCTACTGAACATCATACCTTAACACAGCCCACCTTCAACTGCTCAGAGCACTAACATCAGTCTGTAGCTGGGAAAATCAGCTAACACAAAGTCTACTACAATCAAGTGTCGAAGATCTCATGTAATTGAATGAGTACTACACTGAGAGTGAAAAACAGAATGGGGGTAGGAGTACCTGAAGTACGGTTTCTACTAAATGTACATTGTTTTTGCACCATCGTAAAGTCAAAAAATCATTAAGTCAAACCATCCTGAGTTAGGGCCTGTCTGCATATACAGATATATTCTAGTTGGGGGAGGAAAAAAAAAAGAACTATATTCTAGGCCGGGCAAGGTGGCTCACACCTGTAATACCAGCACTTTGGGAGGCCAAGGTGGATGGATCACCTGAGGTCATGAGTTTGAGACCAGACTGGTCAACATGGTGAAACCATCTCTACTAAAAATACAAAATTAGCCAGGTATGGTGGCACATGCCTGTGATTCCAGCTACTTGAGGGGCTGAGGCAGGAGAATCACTTGAAACCAGGAGGCAGAGGTTGTAGTGAGCCGAGATCATGCCATTGCACTGTAGTCTGGGCAACAAGAATGAAACTCCATCTCAAAAAGAAAAAAGAAATATATTCTAATGCATATTCAACAGGAACAAAAAGGAAAATGACTAAAGATGTTCAAAGAAATATCTACAATAGCAAAAAAAGAAAAAAAAAGAGAGAGGAAAAAAACAGCCAATACTGGAAGGTTTAGTAACACGTCACCCAATATGATAATAGGCAATTACTAAAAATACTTATGAGTATTACGTAGCACTTGGGATTCAATACATATAATTTAAAAACAAGCCTAGAAACACAAATGCATGATTATAAGGAGAAAATATTTTATATGGAGGAAGTACGGGAGGTCCTCAAATAATAGTTTCATTTAACGTAGTTTCATTATAACATTAATAAGAAGAAAAGAACCGATTCCCCTCGGGGCACCGCCTGTGCAGAGCGGGAAGGTTCTTTCCACGTTTGCGTGGGTTTTCTTGGGATAGGTCAGTTCCTTCCCATCCCAAAGATGTGTCCCTGAGGTGAATCAGCGTGTCTAAACTGTCCCAGTCGGAGTGAGGGGGTGCGGGTGAGTGTGCCCTGCAATGAGATAGGATCCTATCCATGGTGCATTCCCACCTTGAGCCCTGAGCTGCTGGGAGAGGGTCCAGCCACCCATGGCCATGAACTGAAATAACTGGGTAAATAATTATCTTACTTGTCTTTATTAATCTTACATGTATGTATAGCTCACATTAATTTCAATGGTTAATATTAGAAGTGGTGACGTTTTTGTGACCAGAAATAAGCCACAGAAACTTAACTCTTGTTTATACCAATTAATCTGCGGTAACATCAGTTTCATTACATGTTGTTTCACAGAAACTCAGAGTTTCCAAGAATCTACTGTTGATGTTAAGTGAGGACTTACTGTAATTCAAACAAAAGTATGTGTGCTAGACTCACAAGACAATGGACAAATATTTAATCTGTCATAATTCTTTATTCTTTTAATGGTTTTTCAACTTGACATGAAAAAGAGTCAAGCAAAGCAGGATCCTCCCAAGTCCCTGCTAGTTGAGTGACTGTGCCTCAGATTCCCAGAAGAGAGCATTGTGGAATTTCTCTATTTCTACTCCAGACTCCAGAACCCGTTTTAAGTGCTAAATGCATCCAAAGCCAAAGCAACCACCAACAACTACAAGGACACCATCTGAGATTGTAACCAGAGGCCTCCTTGACTTCTCTGGGCACCACGATCAGTGGCCCACCCTTCTGGTACCAGCTCACCTCCCTCTGCCTCTGCACTGAGACACCATGCTAGTTTTGCTCACAGCCCGGGATTCCTCCTCCTCCTGCAAACCCCCACATTCCTGTCTCTCCTGAGCTCAGCCTCTGGCTCCAGCCCACCCACCTGTGCATCCTGTGCTATGGTGCTGTGCCCACTGTGCCTGGCCAGCCTCACTTCACAGGGGCCATCGACCACAGTTCTGCCCTCCCCACCCTCACTGCAGCCCCAGCAGTGGCCAGCATTGTCCCACACCTCCACCCTGCCAACCACCTTGCCCAGGAGACCCAGACATGATACCCCTACACCAGCTACTCACGCCTGCCATGTGTTTCATGTAAGGTGAAGAACAGAAAGAACAGACTCCAAGCCCAGAATAAATACAAGCCCTTTCCAGGCCTCTACTCCACTGTGAAACAGAACATCACCTCAGAAGTGATAACTTTCCAAGGACCTCACCAGAAGAACAGCTGAAAGGTCCCTCTCATCCCTTAAAATGGGCCTCTTACTCTGGCTGCTTCTCAATGTAAGTGAATCCCAATAAGTACGAAATTCTCTGAGAACTAATCCAGACACAATTAGCAAAGTTCTAAAAATCAAGCCTACTCTAGCTTTGCAGAGCAATATGAAACTACCAAAGGCTTTTTTAAAGCACAGTAACACAGTGCTATGTGGTCTACAACCAGAAAATACAGCTCACTTAACCTTAAACTGAAAAATAAAAATGTTTACAGGTCTCTCTGGTCTACTCAGCAAATGGACAGAATGAGGAATGAAAGGCTGGCTTGAGTTACCTGCATATGGGTACTGGTAGGGCACAGCATAGGCCTGCCCATTCGCAGCATAGACAACTTGAGTTCCTGGCGGGTACGCACCACTATATGGCCCATAGCCGTACGCCTGCTGAAAAGAAACAGGCCCATTAGAAATACAATTGTGAAACTTCTAGTAATGTATTAAAATTGTGGTCTCCAGGTTGCAATCAATAAAATTTAACAGTCAATTAAAAAGACAAAACAAAACATGAAACAGTGTGGTTATGCCCCCTGTTTTAAAATTACTAAAAAACAAACAAAAGCTACAATTGGACCCCACTTTCAGGCTACAGAATGAAGAAGGCAGAAAAACACAACATAAGAAGAGAACTGGACTTGCATGAGATTTGGATTTCAATTCAGTTGTGCTGTTAACCTGACCTTCAGTAAGTCACCTACCTAGGCCTTCCTTTGCCCATCTGTAAAATGATACGGTTGGACCAGGTGATAAGGAGATTCACCGAAACCACTATCCTCCAGGCGAAGCCAGCCTGGAAGCAGAACCCTCTGTGGCCCAAGTTCAGCAATTCCAGGCACAATATGGAAGATGAGGGTGTCCTGAGGTACCTGGGCAGGTGACTGATGGTTTTCGGGCTGCACACACCTATGAAAAGACATGGCTAGAAATGGGCAGCAGACGCACCTCAACCGGCAGTGAATGACCACTATGTGCTGAGAAATACTGAAATCAAGACCGGCCTTCCTGGCATACTCACAGGCGAGAGGAGATCAGACATACTTGCACAATCACTGTCATTCTGTGACAAGTGCTCTGATACAGGGAGAACAGAGGTGTAGCCAGGCAAATGTGTGTGTAGATCTAAACCTGTTATCTTACAAAAGCAGGAGACAAGACTCCCACTTCTCGAAGATGGAGTAGACATTCTTTCCTGTATTCCTCCTGCTAAGTACAACTACAATCTCTGGACATTATATACAAAGCAAACACAAGAAGACTGAAGAGTGAGGAGAAGACAGACAGGCACGGAACTTTAGCACCTGAGGGAGGACCTGGGTTTCCTTTTTGCTTCACACATCCCACACTGGGTAATGGGGAAGGTGGCAAGCTGGAAGCGCCAATCAGTGCAGACCAAAAAGACCCTGAGAAGAGCTGCTCGCTTTAACAAAGAATCTAAGAAAGAAAGGAGCAACCTAGCAAGACAGATCATTTTTAGACAATAACCTCTCTACTCCAGAGAACCACCACAGAAAAACCTTCAGCCTCACACCAGCAAAGGCCAAGTGTGAAGAGCTTGAATTTCCATGCTCAGCAGGCACCGCCGGGTCCTCAGAACACCGTTGAGTAAGACTGAGTAGGGGGCTGGGAATTTCTTCCCTGCCAGATGGAAACAAAACACCCCCATCCCGCTGGGTGGTGTCCATGGAGACCGTGTGGGGAGCCAGAACCCCACTCCCACCCAGCAGAAAATACGGTGCCCTCCCTATTCCACTGAGACCAAGCCGAGAGTGAGTCTTTCAGGACGTCTCAGTGGCAACCATAGTATCAGGGGAGGCTCTGGGGGAAGCAGTAAGAGCCTTTCCTCTTCTCAGACAGGGTGATTTCAGTGGAGATCTAGTGAGAACCTAAATTCACAACTCCCTCCACAGCGAAAGAAACCTGGACCATGGGTGTCAACTGAGGCTCAAGGCGAGCCTGGACTTCCACCTCTACCTGGCAGCAATAAAGCAGCCCCCGAGAAGCAGGTCTGCTAAAACATGAGATTTAAATAAGATTCAGTCTTACAGTACTTAAAATGTACAGCTTTTGATCAAAAGCCATTCATCACACCAAGAACCAGGAAGATCTCAACTAAATGAGAAAAGACAACAAAAAACACAAACACAAAGATGGCAAAGATGTTAGAATTATCCGGAAAGATTTTTAAAGCAGCTATCATAAAAACTTTTCAACAAGCAATTATGAACATACTTGAAATAAATAAAAAATATAAAGTATCTACCATAAAACAGAAAAATCTCAGTAAAAAGTATATAGATACATACATTCAATTTTTTATATATCAAGATATAAAGAATAACCAAATAAAAATTTCAGAACTAATACAATAACCAATTTAAATAGTTCAATGAATGAGCCCAACAACATAATGGAGATGACAAAAGGAAGGAATCCATAAACATGAATATATAGGGTAGAAATTACCCAATCAGAACACAACAGAGGAGAAATGGATTGAAGTTAAAAAAAAAAAAAAAAGAGCATCTCTGGGACACATCAGACTAACAGGGATGTCATCAGAGTGCCAGAGGGAGTAGAAGGAGGCTGAGGTTGGAAAAGCACTCAAGAATAATGGTTTAAGGCCAGGCACGGTGGCTCACGCCTGTAATCCCAGCACTTTGGGAGGCCAAGACGGGCGGATCACGAGGTCAGGAGATCCAGACCATCCTGGCTAACACGGTGAAACCCCGTCTCTACTAAAATACAAAAAAAATTAGCCGGGCGAGGTGGCGGGCGCCTGTAGTCCCAGCTACTTTGGAGGCTGAGGCAGGAGAATGGCCTAAACCCGGGAGGCGGAGCTTGCAGTGAGCCGAGATCACGCCACTGCACTCCAGCCTGGGCCACAGAGCGAGACTCCGTCTCAAAAAAAAAAAAAAAAGGAATAATGGTTTAAAATTTCCCCAATTTAGCAAAAACCCAAGCCCATATATTCAAGAAGCTGAATGAATACCAAACAGGATAATCCCAAAGAAATCCATACAAATACACATTACAGTCAAACTTTTGAAAACCAAAGTCCACAGAGCAAGCAGAAGGAAGGAAATAAAAGAGTACAATCAATGAAATTGAGAAACAGAAAAAGTGAATAAAACAAAAAGCTATTTCTTTGAAGCTATTTATAGAATTAATAAAACCTTTACTAAACTGTCAAAAAGAGCAAAGACAAATTACCAGTATCAGGAAAGAATGAACCGGAGGATTTTTACTATAGACTCTGCAGACATCACAAGGATAATAAGAAAACACTATAAAGAACTCTACACACATAAATCAGACAACTTATAAGAAAAGGAACAATTCCACAAACACTACAAACTATCAAAACCTACTCCATGCAAACTAGAGAATCTGAGTAGACCAGTCACTATTAAGAAAGCTGCATCTGCAGCAGGCCTGGAGGGAAAGGTCATATGAGGATACAGGGAGGAGAAGGCATGTGCAAGCTCAGGAGGGGCCTCGGGAGAACCAACACTGCCAGCACCTTGATCTTGGGCCTTCAACCTCCAGAACTGTGACAAATAGACATGTGTTGGTTAAGCCAAACAAAGGAAAAAGAGGCCGGGCGCGGTAGCTCACGCCTGTAATCCCAGCACTTTGGGAGGCTGAGGCAGGTGGATCATGAGGTCAGGATATCGAGACCATCCTGGCTAACATGGTGAAACCCCGTCTCTACTAAAAAATACAAAAAATTCACCAGGTGTGGTGGCGGCACCTGTAGTCCCAGCTACTCGGGAGGCTGAGGCAGGAGGATGGTGTGAACCCAGGAGGTGGAGCTTACAGTGAGCCAAGATTGCACCACTGCACTCCAGCGTGGGCAACAGAGTGAGACTCCGTTTCAAAAAAAAAAAAAAAAAGGGAAAAAGAAAACAGATGTTGTCATTTAAAATCTCCCAAAAAAGAAACCTCTAGGACCTGACAGTTTCACTGGAGATTTCTATCAAATTTTAAAGAATTAACTCCAATTCTACACAATTTCTCCCAGAAAAGAAAAGAGCAGAAAACACTTTCCGATTTATTCTATAAGGTCAGTATTGCCTTGATAAAATAAGACAAAGCACAAAGACAGAAAACTATAGACCAATATCCTTCATAAATATAGGTGCAAAATCCTTAACTAATATTAGCAAATTGAATTCAGCAATAAATAAAAAGAATCATACACCATGACCAAGTAGGTTATCAGCAATAAGGCTGTTTCGCTTTTTTATCATTTGTGTGTTCACTGGAGCAGCACTTCTCATCTCTTTTGATAACTTTTCCTGTGCACCCACCACCTGGCAAACTGGCCTAGCTTTCAACCTTTCTCAGCTGCCACCATGTCTTCCTCACTAAGCTTCATCATTTTTAGCTTTTGATTTAAAGTAAGCAGCCTGCAACTATTATTTACTTGAACACTCAGAGGCCACTGGAGGGCTACTAACTGGCCTCATTTCAATATTGTGCCTCAGGGACTAGGGAGGCCTTAGGAGAGAAAATGATGGGAACATACAACATTCAACAATTAGGTTTGCCATCTCATCTGGGTGCGTTCATGGAGTCCCAAAACAATTACAACAGTAACATCAAGGCTCACTGATCTCAGGTCACCACAGTACATACAACAATCATGAAAAAGTTTGAAATATTGTAAAGAGTTACCAAATGTGACACAGAGAACCAAAGCGAGCACACACTGTTGGAAAAATGGCACAATAGACTTAACTGACACAACGTTGCCACAAATCTTCAATTTGTAAAAACTGCAGTATCTGCTGGGCTCAAAAAATGAGGTATGCCTGTATGTATTCTGTGCCTATAGACACCCTACCTTTTTGTTTCCTTTCTATGTTTTTAAGAAAATGCTCTACCACTCAGTTAACATGAAACTTTATCGATAGTGTTCAGTTACACAAAGATAGGAAAATTGTCATACTGTGAAAGGTCATAAGTACTAACATCCTATAGTAAATGTTAAGACCGTGTTCCAATGTCAAATAAGCTCAACACTTCTCTAAATGAGGATTACAAAACCCACTGAAGATTCTGATAAGGTGATTCCACTGAGTGAGTTGAGGAGAACTGTTTAATTTTGCATCTTCCTTAAACAAACTCATTTGCAAAGTGAATTTCTTGTTTTCAATACACCAAATATTTACTTAGAAAAGAACTCATTATCTGAGTAAGAACTTTTAATCTATTCAAAATTTCTCTACCTTCATTCCTTCTCTCTAATGTGTCTTATTAATTCAGAGTAAAACCAAGAAAGAAACCCCATACTATTAACACTTTCCATTTTTCTTAACTCTTCAGTATTTACCCTGACATATTACCACTACTGTGATTCCTTTTGAGCATTTTGAAATGTCTCCATGAACATTTCAGAAAATCCTTTACAGTTCAGTCTGGCACGGTGGCTCACACCCATAATCCCAGCACTTTGGGAGTGCAAGGTGGCTGGAGGTCCGAGACCAGCCTGATCAACATAGTAAAACCCCGTCCCTAGTAATAATAGAAAAAAATTAGCTGGGTGTGGTGGTACACACCTATAATCCCAGCTATTCAGGAGGCTGAGGCAGGAGAATCGCTTGAACTCAGGAAGCAGAGGTTGTAGTGAGCCAAGACCATGCTACTGCACTCCAGCCTAGGCAACAGAGTGAGACTCTGTCTCAAAAAAAAAGGAAGGAAGGAAGGGAGGGAGGGAAGGAGGGAGGGAGGGAGGGAATCTTTTATAGTTTAAACCTCATTCTGCTTTAGAAGAAAATGACATATATATAAATGTTTAGGTTTAGAATTAATAAAATAAAAAATGATAAAAATACAATGCTGGCCTAGCACAGTGACTCATGCCTGTAATCCCAGCACTCTGGGAGGCTGAGGGGGGCAAATCAGAAGGTCAAGAGATTGAGACCATCCTGGCCAACATGGTGAAACCCTAACTCTAGTAAATTAAAAAAATTAGCCGGGTGTTTGGCGTGTGCCTGTAGTCCCAGCTACTCAGGAGGCTGAGGCAGGGGAATCTCTCAAACTCAGGAGGTGGAGGCTGCAATGAGCCAAGATCACGCCACTGCACTCCAGCCTGGCGACAGAGCAAGACACTGTCAAAAAAAAAAATGCTTACAATATTTTATGAAATCTATTTAAATGTCCTTTCTGGTACTGAAAAAACTATGTCCTCCATCCTTCAGTTCTGAAGGCAAACACATCTGTTTTGTAAACTGTGATGCAGGTCACTTCGGCCTTAAACTTGATCAGTGCTTTAAACAATACAAACAGCAAACATGTTAAAGGCAGACATTTAAAAACACCATTTCTGCTAGATGAATTAAAAAATCTAACACAAATCTAACAGCATTTTTAAAGGTACTATTCTTCCTAAATTTTTGTCTGATTTTAAACAAAAGACAACACAGAATTTAAAAGAAAAAAAATACAGAAATCCCTTTTAATCTATTATAGGTCAGATTCTCCAAGAAATAGACACAGATTTTACACACGCTTGCTGGGGAGCACTGTCAGTAACAGCACCCCGGAGGTGGGAGGCACGCAGGAATGAACAGGGATACAGCTGCACTATGAGCTCAGAAGCCAATGTGGCCCTCCTCGGGGCAAGGGTGGGCAAGGTGACCCAAACACTTACAGCAGCTGGGGAAATTAGTGCCATCAGTATTCAAAGAGGGGTTTGGAACTCACGTTACGGCATTCACTACGTAATTCCTTCCTCCAGAAGTATTCCCACATCTACACATAGCCAGAATCACATTTAGGTGAGTACTCACTGACTTTTACTAAGTATATTTCTAGGATTAAATATTCTTTAAAAATGTTATCGAGTATATAGTATTCCATTTTATGTATATACCATAATTC